TCTAATTTAAAATTTTCATCCTAAATTCATTAATAATGCAAACTCGACGAGACTTTAAGTTTATATTCAAATTAACTTTTAAAAACATGTTTACTTAATGCACAGTCCCGGTTTGATTAATAAAAATTTTGAATTGCATAAGGCGTGACATTTCCGATTATTAAAATGATCATCAGGTGGTCGGATGGTAGGAGAGTGTCAAATTTTATTAATTTACCACGTGATTTCCCTACCCACCTCACTTTCTTTATTATAATGATTTCTTTAATTAGGGTTTTTTATAGAAATGTATAAATAATTCCCAAACAATAACACCAACCTATCAGACAAAAGAACTTGGCAAAGATTATGTTACAGATTCAGATAGTAACAGTGATTTTAGTGAATCAGAATTTGAACATGAAATTGAAGATACGCAAAAAAAGGACAATGAGAATAGTGATTAATGATCTAAGCACAAGAACGAAATAGGTACCAAATCAGGAAGTGAAGAAGAGGAAGCGAAATAATCATTTTCTTAATATTAAGCATATGGGCGGATTCTTACACCAAATGGTCATACAACTTCCAAAATTATGTATTATGTGTATTTTTAACTGCTTTACAAGCCTATCAAAAAATAATAATTTTTATTGTAATATGTATCATATAAAAACGGAAGCTTATTTATTATTTTAGTATTAGAGAGAAAAATTTCTTAAGATAGAAAAAATAAAAATCAATGATTATTAATATATATATATTGCTAATGTTTAATTTTTTTAATGATGATTATGATTTGCACTTTGAGGAGAACGGATATAAGAATGACTTTCAGTGAATAGCTTCTACTATGACTTATAGAAGAACCAGATTGACTTGAATATGAAATGTAAGAACTATAATAATAAGACCTTATAAACAACAAACTGATGATCTATATCTAGAATACCTTTTTGTGTATCTCATAATTGCTTTTTACCATAGAATGAATGAAGAAGAAGGCGATGATAGAAATAGCGATTAATATATAAATTATATTTTATATATATTTTAAAAATTAATACAATGTCTACATCTAATTGGAGGTGGTGATGGTTGATGGTATGGAACAAATCTACAAGATAACATATTTCCATCAAGTATATTGTGTTAGTTAATTACATTATTTTATTAACAATTAAGAATTAATGATTAATGTATTGATTACCGATCTATATAACCTATAGTTCTTTCTGTATCATTCCTAGTTTCAAAACTGGACCTCTATTTGTTTGCCCTTTTAAAATTACAATTAATTAATATTGCATTCATATAAACTTTAAATAAAATACCATCACATACATTTTTCATCAATAAATGCTTCTATTTGATTAATCCTACCAAATGCACCAAATATTCCTTGTAACGTGCTTTTTTTTTCACTGGATTTACAAAAATCAATACAAGGGAACATATCCCACAAAAAGTATAAAGTGGAATAGTTGAGGACTTAGGTTTCTATGCTCAACGAAATTCCAATATTCATTTAATGAAAATAAATATTTTCTTTCTCTATTTGAAAGGATAATATGATTCTTTGACATTTTTTGTTAATTTATTAACCATAATTTTTGTAGAAAGTACAGGCGACAAAGAGGAATGTCGTTGTCTATGTGAAGAAGTATAACTATGATGACGTGAAGAAGATGGCGGTAGTGGCAGAAGAGTTACAACCTCTTGTTATTGTTGATGTGATCTATTTTCTCTACGACTAGAATAAGAATAAGAATGTTGACTTCTTTGAATGTGATACAGAATGTGGAGGTTGACTCCTTTGATCAACCTTTACCTTCCGATGTTCCCGTCATATATCGATCGATAAATTGTCAGGTTTTAAAAAATAAAATCGCTAATATTAATAATAATAAACATAGAAACATACATTTTACATGTTATCGATGTATTTAAGCTTTTTTAGCAGCAATAATAATTGGGCAGCAACAATAATGGTAATTTTATAGCAATAATAAAAGTCAAATAATAAGACGTTACCATTTTAAGAAAATCATCACTTTTTGATTAAAAAAAAAAAAAAATAAATTTTAATATAAAATGGAAAGAAATTCATCAAAATCATCAACGCAAGGACAAAACAATGTTATGTTTGATGATAACAATAATACAAAATCATCACCTACACCATCATCTACACCAATATTATCATCAGCAACAACTGCAAAAGAATTCAAAGTAGAAGAAGATGACGAGGAAATAAAAGAAGATGCATATAATGAGGAAACAGGAGAAATTAATTGGGACTGTCCTTGTCTAGGAGGAATGGCAAATGGACCTTGTGGCGAACAATTCAAAGCGGCATTTTCTTGTTTTGTTTATTCAAAAGAAGAGCCAAAAGGTGTTGATTGTCTTGATGCATTCAAAGAGATGAACAATTGTTTCAAACAACATCCTGATGTATATCATGATGGTAATCAATATAATTGATATTTTTATGATGTTTCTCTTTTCTTTTTGTGAATTAATTAGTTATTTGAAAAAAAATTTTTAGAAATTAAAGATGATGATGATGATGATGATGAATATGACGATGATGAATATGACGATGATGAAGATTATCAAAAAGATAAAGATGATAAAGATAAAGATAAAGATGATAAAGTTAATAAATCATGAAATTTTGGAATTAAAAAATTTTATAGATGAAATTTTAATCTCTAGCTTCCCAAAAATTCAGTTTAGAAAGTTTTGATTTAGTTGGCTTTACTAATTACTAATTTTAATGTAAGGAAGAAATTGTTCCTGTTCCATGTTTGTTTTTATTATTAAAAAAGAAATTCTTTGATTATATTTCTTATATTTATTATTAAAATTTAAAAATTTTATGCAATCTTCCCTCAGTTAGCCGTGACTCATCATCACAACCAATTTTTCCTTCTAATGTAAGGTTTAAAGAAATTATGGGATAAGTACTCCTTAAAACCACCAGTAATTCACTGTACCCAAATCAATGGATGCATCTTTGCTCTTGAGTCATGGATTACAGCTGATTCAACTAAATTAACATTATTTAAATCATACCAGATGGCAATATGGAAAGAGTTTTAAAGATGTAACTTTTTCATCCTTCTTTTAAAAAACTCCTCTCCGCTCAGGAAAGCTCTTAAAGTCAGATTTTACCTAATTCAAAGAAAAATAATTGGATTTATTATATGTCTGGCAGTAGTTAATATTGATGTAAAAAATAAAAAGTCAATATTTATGTGATAATTATGTCAATAAATCTGAAAATTTGAGGGCTTTGATCTCAAATTGTTTCTTGATACTCCTTATAGTGTTAAGGAGGCAGCAGTGATTGACTGACATATAATAAATCCAATTATTTTTCTTTGAATTAGGTAAAGTCTGATTTTAAGAGCTTTCCTGGGTGAAGGGGGTTTTTAGAGGAAGGATAAAGAAGTTACATCTTTAACCTCTTTCTATATGCTATCAGGTAGAAAGATAATATGATTTAATCATGTTAGTTTAGTCAAATCAGCTGTAATCCATGACTCAAGAGCAAAGAGGCATCCAATTGACTTGGGTACAGTGAATTACTGGTAGTTTTTTAAGGAGTTCTTGAGTGAACTCATCCCAGAATGTCTTAAACCTTACATTTGAAGAAAAAATTGGTTGTGATGATGAGTCATGGCCAACTGAGGAAAATTTTTAAATTTTAATAAAAAACA